CTCCTCCTCCTCCTCCTCCTCTTCCTCTTCTTCTTTTTCTTCTTCTTCTTCTTCTGCTTCTGCTTCTTCTGCTTCTGCTTCTGCTTCTCCTGCTTCTTCTGCTTTATGTGCGAGATGTGAAACATACATAGACCATTATGGCTAGCTAATTATTTCTCTGCCCTGGCACTCGAAAAAAAAAAACACTAATAAAGTGGTATTGTCCTTTTTCCCGTCACTCTTCTGTTGGAGTTGTTTAAATAACTTAACCCCTGTCCCGTTTGCCTTCTGTTTTTTCTAGATCTGGTGATAAAAATGTAATGCTAAGAACCTTTTTTGTCGATTCAAGTGCCCTGGGAACTGCAAATGTCTCTTCTAGGCTGGTTTTTTTTTAGTCGTTGCTGTATACACTGGCTTCCTTCATCATAACCGCATTTGAATTCTTTTTTCCATTTGAGGAAGTCCACATAAATGATTACGAAACCATAATATTATTATCTCTGATGCTTCTGGTTTATGTTCAATACGTTACGAAAGTGTCTGCATTCAAAGTCGTATATGTATTGTTTGAAAAACAGCCTTTTTTTACCTTGCGTTTTCCGATCAACAGGTGCTTTTGTGTTCAGTAGCTCCAACAAAAAGTGCAGCGATTAAAATTTTAAAGTTAAATGCGAGTGAAAACAAAGAGGGGAGAGGAGAGAGGAGAAAGTCGAGAAAGGCTGTTTGCCCTCAGCGCTCTTTCTTGGTTCTCCCTCCTCCCCCTTTCCAGCAGAAATGTTTCTTTATTCTTCTAATGGTTGTCAGTACATTACTCATCCAGATGCAGCATGGTGAATGTAGGAGGAGCAGCCTGCGTGATCCCATCAGACGCTACAACAACCACCTGATGATGGAGACAATCAGCCTGCCCACACTGAAATGGACCCTCATGAAGAGGGGCGAGGAAGCATGGAGCACCCCGTCTTTCTAAGACCCCAGTTCTACATTCAAGTAAGTTCAAGTATGCAAGTACTCATCCAAGTATGACGATTGATCAAACTGGAAGTGATTACAACAATTGATTAATAGTCAAGTGTTCAAATTGAAGTAGTCCAACATTCCTCTGCTCTCTCAAGAAACGAGTAGTCACTAGACACCCTCTGTTCAGTTCCCTAATCAGCCGTCTTTACAGTATCACTGAAAGTTCCGAAAGTTTGCACCAAGCCACTCATACCACACACGCACGTACACAATTCCCTTTAATGATTTTAAAAAGCCATGGTCGTTAAAAACCACCAAGAATGTTGTCATTGAGATCTTTATACTTTTCAATTTTTTTAAAGGGGGGGGGGGGGAGGCTACACCTGAAGGCTATCTCGCTCTTGACAGAATTTTACCAAATTTCTCACATATAACAAGCATAGTAAGGAGTCTTAAAATCCGCAATCAAAGTTGAGAAAAAAGTTCGTTTCCATGGATTCGGCGGCCATATTGGATTTTGTTGACATGTCTTACGTAATGAATACCGCAGTTATCGCTTATGGAAATTAATTGATTTTTTGCATGCGTCTTCACAAACATTAGATCTAAAAATTTGCCTGTTGTTTTTTTCTTAAACGAATTAGAAAAATTTTTAAGGAATTTTTTCCTGAGGTAGCAGTCAAGTTTGCAAAAAATCCGTGAAAATCCACACTCCAGACACCACCAACAAAAATCTATTTCATATATCAAAAATTAAACAGACAAATTTTTTTTAGTATTACATCTTCTCTTCATTCTGTGAAATTTCATGAAGTTTGGGTGGAAAATGGTGGAGTTATTCAAAGAAGTATAGAGAAAAGTCGTGTTTTGAGAAAACTACCGATAAAGAAAAATAAAATACTGACTTTATGAGGAAATGGCGGTGACAAACAGGCCCGGTAAGGGAAAAAATAAGGCGTTTAGGCGTATTCAATGGAATACATGTAAATCTAGTTGTAGGAGAGGCTGAGGAGGGTAAATATGCCCACAACTCAAATTCCATAATTTTGAGCCGAATTTTGACTTTGGGGGT